ATTTTACATATTTTACTTGATCATTTTGCATGTTTCTGTGGCAGGCATCAATGTTATGGCAGAAGTAGATGTCCCTGGTCATGCAAAATCATGGTAAAAAAATTTTTCAATATCAACTTTTGTCTTAAGCTAATGTTGTGGACATATTAACTGTCCTCTTAAGCTAATGACTTGGACATATTATTGTAGTTAAATTATTTTTAGTATGATAAAAATGGATTTTTCAGCCTTTCCCATCAAGTAGCTATTTTCTCTAAGCTAGAATTGGATGCTTAATTAGTATGGTCTGATCAAATGAAGGGACATAGCTTACTTATTTTGTCATGGCTTTCTAGGAACTGAGAGATTGAAGAAGATACTTAGTTGTCAATATAATAATACCCAATTCTTTCTATACAAAAGGGTAATTTTTTTTTCCTATGATGTCATGTTGTAATCTTGGATAACTTCCACTGAAAATGATTTAGAGAAGTTGAACATCACAACATGATTACTGCTTACCACTATCTAGAATCGTCTCTGGAGAAAATTCTTTTCTCATTTACTATTTGGTCTGGCAGAACTGAATTTTTTCGTTTATGGTACTTTATTTTTGTGCCTTACCACATGGGCACTTGCAGGAAACTTAAATTACAGTAGCAAACAGATCAGAGTTTTTCTGACATTGCATTCTCATTGACGAATAGTGCTTTTAGGTCATCTGGTAAAACTGCTAATTTTTGAAAACTCAAACCCGTTCTTAATTCTCTTGCACAGGGGCACTGGATATCCTAATCTTTGGCCTTCCACTTCCTGCAAAGAGCCACTTGATGTATCAAAGAGTTCAACTTTCAATGTGGTTTCTGGAATTCTGACAGGTTAAGCTCATGAAAACATTTACCCTGTTATTTATTGCGTGCTTATAGATTACTTACTGTATGGGTATCGAGTACTTCTCTCTCTCTTTCTCTCTCTCTCTCACTGATTACACACTTGATGCATAGAAGTAGTACCTTGAAAATCATGAATATCATGTCCATGTATGATTTCTACTTTAAAAAATATATAATTTTCTGTAGCTACTGTGGCAAATCTTGTGTTTATCTTCCATATACTTATGCAATTTTAGTTTCCAATGTACAGATATGAGAAAGATTTTTCCCTTTGAGCTATTCCACTTGGGCGGTGATGAAGTTAATACAAGTAAGTAAAACCTTTTGTTCTAAGCTA